CAGAAAACAATTGTAAGAACTTTGTTAAAAAGAAAAAGAACTGAATTAGACCCCACTTCCCTTGGTAACTATTAGCTCATATCTAATCTCCTCTTTCTAAATAATATCCTAGAGCAAGGGATGGCAACAAAACTCTAGGCTTTCTTCAATGAAATAGATTACCATTCCAATATGGATTCATACCTGCCTATGGAACAGAAACATCCTTGATTGCCTTGGATCTTTGAGCATCATTTGATACCATCAGCTACGGTATACTGCTTGGTCATTTGGACAATATAGGACTTGGGGACATTGCTTTGCAGTGGTTCCAGTCTTTCTTAGCTGAATGTTCCCAGAGAGTGTTGTTGTGAGACCACTTATCAGCCTTTTTGCCATTGGCCTGTGGGCTTCTAAAGGGGCCAATATTGTTGTTTATGCTTTTTAACATCTACATGAAGCTTCTTGGAGAGGAAATCCAGAGCTCTGGGGGCTGGTGCCATGGGTATGCTGATGATATTCTGCTCTATCTCTCCTTTGCAATTTATGTGAAGGATACTGTGGTAGTACTGACTTATTGTCTAGATGCAATAAAAGATTAGATGTGGGTGAATAGACTGAGGCTTAATGAAACAAGATGGAAGTGTTTCTGGTCAGAAAGCCACCTTGGGACTGGAATTGCACACTGTTCTGGATGGAATTGCTTTCTCCCTGAAATATCAGGTTTGTAGCTTGGATGTGTACTTGGAAAGCCAGGTTGCTATGGTGGACAGGAACACCTTTCCCCAGGTTCAACTAACATGCCAGCTACTTACTTTCTTGAGGAAAGCAGATCTGGCCACAGTGTCTCATGGTGTAGTTACCTCCCGTTTCTCCCTTGAAACATTTTCAGAAGCTGCAGCTAGTAAAAAATGCAGCAGCCAGAGTGATCTCCCTTCAAATTCAAGCTTCTGGTGGACAACCAAAATACTACTGGTGGTAGACAGCATTCAGTATTTAAAATTGTTCTTTTAACTATTTCAAACCTGGATTTTAGGATTGTTTTTAGATTGCTTTCAGGCGTTTTAAAAGGGCATTTTAATGTGCTTTAAAAATGCTTTTATCTTGGCATTGTTTTAACTGGTTTTTATCTGTTCAACACTTTGAGAGTCCTTGTGGGCTGGAAGGTGATTTTGAAATATTTCAAACACACAAACAAACAAACAAACACAAATTGTCTAAAGAACCCACTTGAAGTAGTTCAATCATATCTGGATTGATCTTCAGTTTATTACCTATGAATATAGCCTCTTCCTGACCTCAAGGTCCTGAAGGCTCAAAATGGTGGCCTTGACCCTCAAAAGTTGCCTGCAATAGGTTGCCATTGGGGGAAATCATTCTGAGATTTAAGGTGTGCTTTGTTATCGGTTTGCTAATGACTCTTAACTCTATTTCTTTTCTTTTCTTGTATACTTGTAATCACTCTCTCTCTCTCTCTCTATATATATATATATATACCCCGAAAGTGATTACAAGTATGCTTTCACTTTGGAGGGAAGGGTTGGGCTGGATGGACCCTAGGGGAATACTTGTATGGATAGCCTATATCACATTAAAACTAGCATGATCAAATCTTTGGTTTGACTTTAGGGGGGTTGTAAAAGGCGGACTGAAGAGATTTGTATCTTTCTATTTTCATATTTACTTAATAGTGTTTGTATTTCTTATCCAGGAAGCATTAATCATTGACATTTACTGCCAAATAAAATCATGTAAGTATCTTTCTGTTGAAAAGAATATATTAAATGACCCCTTCCCCATTACTATTCCAGTTTGATGACATAGTGGCAGGCAGAGAAACATCAGAGACACTGCCAATGAAGCCTTTGGTGTCCCTTGTGCTGTGAAATGTCTCAGAGTTATGAAGTTTATTTAAGACTGTACCTTTCAATAATAAAATAAAATCCACTTTTAGTTTTTCCCCAGTTTATCTGGCAACCAAGTCCCCCATCTCAGACTAATTTGCCTCCTGTTTCCTTCTGTAGAAATATTGCTTTGTTCAAGTACAAGCAAACAATATATTTAATTGCTTTTTCCATGCCAAATGGAACAGAAGACCTGTATGGAGTTGTACTCTTGAACAGCAAAACAACCTCCCTGCTTTAAGAAATCACAATAACTGGGTTATATAAGCAATTTGGAACCATAGATCCTAGGGAGCACGTGGACCAGTTCTTGGAAGAGTTACCTTTTGGACTACAGCTCCAATAATCTCTAGGGAGACTCCATCCCAGAATATACCGTACCCTTGTGCTCTGGAGTTGACATGGTACAACTCTGAGTGAGTTGGCTTTGATCAGCTTAAGATAACAAAGCTTTCAGAAAGGGTAAAATGGAATTTACCCTGTGGTTACAATCCAGGTAAAATGGAATTTATCCTAAGGTTATAATCCAGGGTGTATAGCAATAGGATCAATAATAATTTTAAATAGAGTTCAAGCTTTGCAGAAGGTTGATGAGTCAAGAGCTGGTGTAGCTAAATTATATGGATGTCTTTGGGGCTCCCTGTGCTGCACAAATCTGCATTCATTTAACCATATGGGAGTTACACTACATTACCTTTCTGCTGAACACTGAAAATATGCAACCAATTTTGTGTCTGGCAATTTTCCTGCTTATTGTCCCATTGTGCAGGGGGCAATGTTCAGTGGCTATTTTCTGCAATCTAGAGACTCAACAAAATTATTCAAAAATATTTTTAAGTAGTCAAAAATGGGTTTCTTGAGTAACAGGAAACAGTGATGAGAATTGTGGACAATGAGCAACTCCAGAGTTTGGGACGTATGCTGCACAAAATGTATTCATGATATTGCATTGTCTGTGCCTGGGAATACAGTTCTCCTTACAAAAAAAGAAAAAAAAACTATTCCCTGAGCTAAAGCCCCATGTATGACCTTTGTACATAACAACTCCCCAATTACATTTTCTGCACTGAAAACAGCATTGCTATTTCTGTTGAAAAGAAGCTATATCAAGTATAGAAAAAAAACTATTTTCTGTGCCAAAACATGACATGTGAATTTGACACAGTTTAAGTCCCAAAATATGAACAGTGTTTCAAAAAAAATCTGAGAGGAAAAAAAGTTGCTCAGTGCTGCTTTCAAGAATGAAATAAGTAAAGATTTACATCCCTAGTGCAATCCCAGTGGCAACAGCATGGTTTGAATTCTGTTGGCTGACCGCAATTAAAGTAGACCCATTGAATCATTGAATCACCATTAACACATTAGTCAACACATTTGTGTAACCAATTGTTTCAACTGTTGCTATTATTTGCTCTCACATTGACCTTGATGTATGATGACCCTATGATTAAGAAGTCCTCAAAAAGGCCCAGTCATCAATTTCCCTGCTCAGATCTTGCAAGGTCAAGGCAATGGCTTCTTCAGTTGAGGCAATCCACCTGTTGTGTGGTGTCCCTCTTTTCCTATGGCCTTCTACTTTACCAAGTATTATATCCATTCCTTCTACGGCCTACTCTATTAGGGATCAAAAATAGGGTTTGGGTCCATGGCAAATGGTTACACTTATAGAACTTTACTTGCAAAACAATGAGCTCAACAAGACCATTGCATCATGGCTGAAAAACTACAGCTCCATCTTTACTGACAAGGTTAGGTAAGGGACCTTACACACATGTATGTCACCATCAGGATTCTGTGTGGTGGCTGATCCTTCCCAACTCTGATTCTCAGAGTCAGCCTAAGATATTTTGCCGTCTGAAGCAAAGGAAAAAAGGATCCTCCCTCCTTTTCTCAAATGAAAGATACAACTTGAGTAGCAGATGAGTCTTCTACAGACAAGTCAGTATCCCCCACCACACTTTGCTTGAACTAATGACAGGGCTGGTCTCAATGATTCTTCATACTTTGGACAATAGGAGGAAAGAATTAGAAGTCAACCAGCACTTCCATTAAAGCAGTGGTTCTCAAACCTGGATAGTCCAAAAGTATTTTGGATTTTGGACTTAAAATTCCAGAATCCCCGACCATTGGTCAAGTTGGTTCAGGCATCTATGAGTTGAAGAGGTTACTACATGCAGCTTTTAAAATTTAGTTAGATCTGAAAAAAAAGTGAATTTGGCTATGCTTATCCCAGGACAGTTCCTGCAACCCATAGCTGCTGCATCCCCCAACCATGATTAGGGTGGCCCTGGGAGTTGGGTATGTTTAACCTGAGGAAGAGAGTGACATGAGAGCCATGTTTAAATATTTGAAGGGATGTCATATGAAGCATGCTCATTTTCTGACACTCCAGTGACTAGGACATGGAGCAGTGGATTCAAAGTGCAGGACAAAAAGATTCCACCTCAATATTAGGAAGAACTTCCTGACAGTAAGACCTGTTCAACAGTGGAACACGCACCCTCAGAGTGTGATTGAGTCTTCTTCTTTGGGTTTTTTAAAGCAGAGGCTGGATGGCCATCTGTCAGGAGTGCTTGGATTGTATATTCTTGCATGGGAGAATGTGGTTAGATTGGATGGCCCTGGTGATCTCCTCAAACTCTATCATTCTATGAAACCCATCAATGAACTATCAATAGTGCAAGTCCTCAGGTGTGAAAGATCACTCCAGTGGCAGTCATATGGTGTCAGTGTCTCCTTTCCAACACACATGCTCCCCCTCACTATTCCTACCTTCCCTGTCATTTCTTCTCTCTCTCTCTCTCTCTCTTAAAGCAAATCAAATTGCAATAGCACTGTTTCATGAAACAGTGAAAATAAATAAAAATAAAATGAAGACTCCCAGAAGGCATGATGAGCACAGCAAAGGGCAGAAAGGCAGGGTTAAGGTGGACTCAGGAAGCAAATGTGATGGTGGCCATCACACAACTGAGAAGTTGTGTGGTGATGCAGGACTTTGTTGTTGTGTGCCTTCAAGTCATTTCTGACTGCTGGCAACCCTAAAGTGAATATATCATGGGGTTTTCTTGGCAATATTTTTTCAGAGGATGTTTGCCATTGGTCACCCAGTGGGTTTCATGGCCAAGCAGGGAATCAAACCCTGGTCTCCAGAGTCATAATTCCACACCCAAACCACTATGCCATGCCGGCTCTATGATGTGGGACTACAAACAGGTATAATTTACACTGACAAGCGTGACTGCAGCAAGAACAGGGCTTGTACGGTAAAGTTCCCAAACATCTAAAGAATCAACATTCGAAAATGACTTCACCAAAGTAAGATACATTTTGTCTTGCTGCTTTTGTGGCTTGTTGCTTTGGGAAGCTGCTGAGGCTCCTTCTCAGAAAACAGTATATTCTGAGAATTTTGTCACTTCCCCCACCCTCCACCCCCAGCTGTGTGGGAGAGAAGGAACAAAAATGCTCTGAATTTTTATTTAATTCTGTCCCTGTTAACTGATGGACATAAAAGGCAGTCCCTGATTGTCTACACTCCTTATGCACGAGTAGCACATCTTTCTTCAATTATATATCCCATTTTGTTGATTACAGTAAACAACATACAACAGGCTGCATGAGATGCAGAATCAGTTCTTGGGAACAGTTTCCGTATTTAATATTATAATTGGATTGGCTAGAGATAAATCATCTGTCAGAGGACTCAAGGAATCCAAACGTGATCCTATCTTTTCTTGACACACAAACAAATGTTGGTGCCTGTGGTCAATCATACTCAGTAATTACCCCTCAGCAGTGAGATGCTTTCCCATTTCTCAGTTGTGCACACCAAGAACATGTCCGACAATGAAGGCCAAATGTGGTGTTAATGCTCTGCAAATAATCAACTATTTTTTTATATCAGATCAGTGTCTCTCATTTCAAAACAGGCCCTGGGGGACTTCCGTGGTGACTGGTGGCTGCCATGTCATGTAAAGGGAACAATCTCTGGCTTTTCCTCTAAGGTTTAAAGGACTTATCCAAGGTGCTGAACCTGGGGGGGAAAGCCCACAACAAATTCACTGTCCAACTGACATGGAAACCACCAGCCAACAATGGTGGAGTTGGGCAATGGAAGCATGAAAGAGAGACCTACCACCATGTTTGGAGAGATTCCTATCTTACCAGGAAATGATATCCTCAAACCTGACAGGAAATTACATCCCCTTATCAATGTAGAATCTCAGTGGAGGGAATTTGCCTTATTTTATGTTCAATGCTTGAGCAGGAGAAGCAGATGATGGGTCTATCTACTGGCAAATATCTGAGTTATGTTCAAAAGATAAGCAAAACATGTTTTGACTCCCAGCCTGGCATCCTGTTGGTAACATATATATGCATAAGTTAAACCTACCCATGTATATGTCTTTTTTGTCCACTGTGGAAGTTGATACTCCCTTCTTCCCTTGGCAGCAATCACTCCTCCCTGCCAAGCTATCTGAAGCCTCCTCCAATGGCCATCTATACCTGGAGGGCAGTAGTGGGGGATTGCAGAACCTTCTGGCTATATCCCTATAGCCAGAAACAAAATGATTACTCAGCCTCTGAGACTTCTGGAGTACCTCAGTGGATGATTTAACCACTATTTGTCTGTCTATGAGCACATAGCCAGACAATACCCTGATCCCCTTTGCTCTCCTCCAGGATGTGATGGAGGGGGGTGTCAGTGGCAATATGGTACATGTGGGCAATGGAAAATGAATCACCATCTGGAACTACTATGCTATGCTGAGCCACACAGGATTGCAGCTTCAGTGTGTTTAAAGGAATCCACTATAATTAAAGGAATCCACCCCCACCCTCACTTGAACTCCTAAAATATAAAGAAAAGTTGAGATCACCAGTGTGAGAATTTGTGTGTGGAAGGATTGTAAGTTCCATCTTTTCTTCCATAGAAAACAAGTTCCTAGGCTCATTTTTTTTCCTTTTAACTGTATCTCCTATGTACCAGGCCTCAGCTAGTGAATCTCAATGTTGTTGTTGTTGTTGTTGTTGTTGTTTTGGGGGGGAATAAAACCATGGAATGGACCATCTTTCTTTTCTTTCCTTTTGGAAATATCTCCAAAGAAAGAACATGAATAGATGACTGTAGAGATCTCTATTCCATGTTCCCCAGAAGTTCCATAGAGAAGTGGTTTGGAAAGTTCAGACCATAGTCTATATGTGGAACCGAAGGCTATATGTCTTCCAGGGGCTCCCAAACACCCCTCTATTTTAAAAAATTCTACTTTATTTGTCCAAAGGCATGAGGAATTTTTTTGCCATATTTTTGCCACTGGCCCAGTTTATGCTCCATAGAAAAAAAATTCAACAGGAAGAAACCCTAAAGTCGACTCACCCTTGAACTAGAGAATTCGTGTTCAGATCCTTCTAGGTTACTGACTGTCCATTTGAATTTCACTTTCTTAGAGCTAAAGAAGGGTTGCCATTGCTATCCTCTGAGGCTGAGAGAGTGTGATTTGCTCAAGTTCATCCAGTGAGTTTATATGACCAAGCTTGAATTTTGTACCCTGGTCTCCAAGGTTATAGTCCAATGCTCAAAACACTATGCCACACTGCCTTAGTTTCTGGACAATGTCAAAATATCTTGTTTTTCAGAATAGTACAGGAATACCTTGTTAATCTAAATGAATTTAAGTCCCCAGTACCAGATGAACTACATCCAAGGGTATTAAAGGAACTGGCAAATGTAATCTCGGAGCCACTGGCAATAATCTTTGAGAACTCCTGGAGAACAGGAGAAGTCCCAGCAGACTGGAGGAGGGCAAACATTGTCCCCATCTTCAAAAAGGGGGAAAAAAGAGGATCCCAAGAACTATCGCCAGTTAGTCTGACATCAATACTGGGAAAGATTCTAGAACAGTTCAT